TAAAATTAAGGAACACAGGGAAAGCTGCAAGTCAGGAACTTAGTGTTTGAGATGATGAATAGATATGGGGTAATAACCTTTAATAATTCTATATGTAACAATAAAAGAGAAGTGACAGAATAAAGTAAGAACAGAACACCAAAAAACTATGTGTAAAAATCAGCCTCACATCTAACAACTAATGGAATGTCTGTTGTACATTTATGAGGAGGGACACTGGTGGCTCATGCCTCTGATTCCAATCTAACCACCAGACATTTATCTTCAATTAACGACCAAAAAGCCAGAAGTGGAGGTGTAGCTAAAGTGATGGAGCACTTGAGCATATTGCCCGGACTTTGAGATCTGCGCAACAAACAAACAAAAAACTCCATTCAAAGGATCTGAATTCTGATCACTGCTCTGAAAACAGGCTGACCCCTCTCCTCCCCTTCCTCCTCCACTTACAGTATCTTAATCCTGATTAAGTCTAACTATCTACCTCTTATAAACTTGCATTTGAGAAGCTGAAGATAGATTACAAACTCCAACCGTTTGGGCAGGTTTAAATAGAAACACGTAATTTATTGTATTATTAACTGATAATCCCATTTACATTTCTCAACTATATTTACTTTGTTTTCTAAGAACACTACTTTCTTATCTCTACCTACCAATTTATAATCTTTCCCAAATGATATTTTTTGAGGGGGGGGGGAACAGGGGTCAGTCATGTAGCTTGAACTCAGGGCCTGGACACTGTACCTGAGCTCTTTTGCTCTAGGCCAGTGCTCTACCACTTTGAGCCACAGCTCCACTTCTGGTTTTCTGGTGGTTAACTGGAGGTCAGAGTCTCCTGGGGACTTTTCTGCCTGGGATGGCTTTAAACCTTGATCCTCAGATCTCAGTCTCCTGAGTAGCTACGATTATAGGTGAGCCACTGGAACCCAGCCGCACATTTGATTTTGTTGTTGTTGTTGTTGGTCCTGGGGCCTAACTCTGGGCCTGGGTGTTGTCCCTCAGCTATTCAACTCAAGGCTAGCACTCTACCACTTGAGCCATAGTGTCACCTCCAGCTTTTTCTGCTTATGTGGTGCTGAAGAATTGAACCCAGGCTGTCATACATGCAAGGCAAGCACTCTTCCACTGAGCCACTTTCCCACCCCATACATTTGATTTTTTACATCCACCCTTACATTTTCTGTTAGGAAGCTAGGGTAGAAGGTATGATTTTATTACATGGCTGAGGAGTCTGAGTCACAGTAGCAAAGGTACTGGTTCCTGGTGGCAGAGCCAGGGCCAGGGAGCTTCAGAGGAAGGAGTTTCCTCTGGCAGAGCCACAGTTCACTCAGGGACCTGATGGGAGATCTGAGTATTCTCTTGGAGACTGCAAAAAATGGCCAATATAGCTTTTTCTGCCTCTTAAGATTGTAGGAACCTGTGTTTCTTGTGATAATGTCTTCAGCTTCCACCTCTTCTTTCCTTCAAATCAGGATTTTGCTGTCCCTACCGTGGATCTGCTGTTGCTAACATTTTCTTCCAGTGATTAAAGCCAAAGGACATTTCATTTACTTTCTTTCCTGGTAACTGATATCTAGCTTTTCCTGATCTAGCATTGCTTGGTTGGCTACTGTCTCCTTGAAAATTTCTTCTTCCAGAACTATATTTTTTCCATCACTAATTCTACTTCTCATTTACCCCCTACCAGCACCTTAACAGAATGGGGTCTTTCCATGCACAGCCCCTTCCTTCTTTTTTTTGGGGGGGGGTCAGTTGTGGGGCCTGAACTCCGGGCCTGGGCGCTGTCCCTCAGCTCTTCAGCTCAAGGCTAGCACTCTACCACTTGAGCCACAGTGCCACTTCCGGCTTTTTTTTTTTTTTTGCTTATGTGGTGCCGAGGAATTGAACCCATGGCCTCATGCATGCAAGGCAAGCGCTCTGCCACTGAGTCACCTTCCCAGCCAGCCCCTTCCTTCTTTCAAACCATACTTGTGGCTTTATCTGTTTCATACATGATGCTTCCAAAGTATTTCCAGCTCAGACTCTGATCTCTAGGTTTTTATATTTAGCTATTAATGATCCCAGATGAACTTTCTAAATGTCTAAAATAAAACTTTACCCTTTGTTCATAATTCATTTTCTTTCTGGACCAATATACTTTTTACCAGTTCCTATCAATCTGGGTCTTCGCTCTCAATTCCCTCATCTCCATTCCCATGAGCAATTCTTCAATGAGTTCTCATCTGTACCAACTCAATATAAAACATTTGTGTTTTTTAGTACTGAGGTTTGAGTCAGGTCCTTGCACTTGTACTCTATAAACTTTTGCTTAATTTTTTGGAAGGATTTTTTTGGGGGAGGGTGGCAATGTATGTATTTTAAATGATTAGTTGTGGAAATATTCAAATATATACACACAGAAGTGAGAATCTGGAATTAGCCCATGGACCCAATTTCAAAGTTTCTGCTGTTCTCATTTTGTCTTAGGTTTCTCTCACCCACTATACTATTTCTTCAGATAGGATCTTGCACTTTTTGCCCAGGTAGGTGATCTATCTAAAGACGGTGATCCTCCTACTTCTGCTTCCTGAAGAACTATGATGACAGAAGCATACCACCATGCCAATCTTGGGGTCAAAAAAAGCTTTCTAACACCTTGGCCTTGGCTGTCCTCAAACCATAATCCTTTTACCTTCCCTCCCCATCTAGCTGGGATTATAGGTATGTACTTCCATTGCTGGTCCCACTAACTGGTTTTACCACATGCCCCCATCTCTTCTGCACTAATTGTAATCAGAATGGTGATTGGTTTGTTTGTTCCTAGGTTTGAAATCATGCTATTACCTGCTCAAAATTCTAAACGCTCAAAGTTGAATTCTTCAGTAAGCACTCCTGATTCTCTGTGGCATAATGAAAAATCAAACAGGTTTCAATTTTTGCCAGTTTGTTGTGACTAATTGTGATTGTGAGTAGTTGGGGAATGTGTGTTTCATCTAAGTTGTCACAGGGGTAAAAATGCAAAAATAGAGGTGTCTAAGTCAAGGTAGAAGCTCAAAAGATGACTGCTCCCAAGATGTCTTCTCATGCCTGACATGTTCCTTCCGTGCTGGCCAATAGGACAGCATGTGGTTCCTGGATTTAGCCATCCTGCCTTCTCCACTCTTGCTTGAACTTTGCCTGGAATTGTTTCTGCCCTTGGTGTATTTCTCTGGGTAATTCCTTCTCATCATCCACTGTTGTGTATGTTATTACTACTTCTAGGTCAAGCATTACCGGATATATCATCGAGTGAACTACTTTCTTCTCTGCTCCCACTGTCTCCTCCACACATCTTTGCAGTTCTCCTGACACTCTATACTGTAGGAAGATGTGGGTGATCAGCAAACCTGCAGTTAGCTTCTGGAAAACAGTTGCCCATCCATCTGCTAGATGCATTGCTACTGGCACAAGTCCTAATAACCAACACCAGGTTGATAAATCCCGTGTTAGGTGGTTTAGTATGTTCTAGGGCCAAGAATATGTGCTATAACTAGAATTATTTTCTGAAGTGAGCATTGTTGGTTGAAATTTTTTTTCAGGATAACAAAAAACAAGTTATAAACCATGCAAACTCATATGTGAAGGTTTGTTCCTTGAGCATTTTGTGAAGCTAAGTGAACTGATCCCCGCAGAGCTCCCTAGTGCCATTTAGAAGCCAGTCTTTAAGGTTATTGTAATCATTCAGAGGTGACGCACTGTATTGGCATTTATCTCACTCAGCAGATTCTTCAAAATGTGTGCAAGACTGGCCAGGTGTGGTAAGTCATGCCTGGGATCACTACACTCAGGAGACTGACAAGGAAGATTGAGAATTCAGGGCCAACTTGGGCTACATAGAGACCCTATCTTGGGTGGGGGGAGAAAAGAAAGAAAATTACATTACTAAATCAACTACATTTGGGATTCTTAAAAATGAAAGCGTTAGTTTTTAGGCCTTAGAATAAAACATTCAGCTAAAGCAGACTAAAGCTTAAAGAAATCAAAGGTTGGACAACATTACACTGGGGAGTTGAGAATCAGAATCAGTATTCAACTGATCATGTTCAGAATCAGTATTAGGCTGATAGGTTAGACATCTGACAAACCACCTTCTAAACCAAGTTGAAACAGAATTGGCTATCTCTTCACATAATAACTATTGGCCATAAAGCCTAAAATTAATCATGAGTTCTAACTATATTACAAGTTCTAAATCTCATCTATCAGATAAAGAAAATAAAAAAGTAAGTAAACAATACTTTATACACCCAAAAGCCCACAATATGCACAGTACTTTTAGTGTTGTAAACGTAGACAATTTTGTTAAAATTATACATGATAATAGAAGTTGTCAATAGACTAACTCATTTATCTGTCTGTATTTTGTTATAATTATTGTAGTCAAATGATAACGTTTTGTAGACAAGTCTTACCTGGCATATAAATGTACTTAAAAGGTCCTGGCATAGTGGTGGTACACACCTGTAATCTCAGCTACTTGGGAAGTAAAGATTGGGCAGGCTATGGTTCAAAGTCAGTTTGGGCAAAAAAAGTGAGCCCATCTCAACCATAAGGTAAGATCTAGCAGTGGGTTCCTGTAACTCAAGCCATGTAGAAGGCATAGGTGGGTGAACTGCAAAAATGAGAGACCCAAATGGAATGAGAAATAAAGCTGCAAGGGTTGGAGGCATACTTTTAAGTGGTAGATCTTGGTGAATGCAAGGCTCTCAGTGCCAATCCCAGTAACACACACACACACACACACACACATTTAAAAATTAACCGGGGTGGGGGGATATAGTTGTGGAGGTGGGAGGGAAGGGATGGTAGGGGAAAAACAAAGGAGGAGGCAACAATGCTTGATAAGAAATGTACTCACTACCTCCCTCATGTAACTAACCCCAGTGTACAGTATTTTCACAATAAAGAACTTATTCAAAAATAAAATGAAATCGAAAACAAAAAAATTGAAAGCGATTATAACAAGAAAAAAACATGGTTTCTTCTAACAAAATTTATTATACAGTAATTAAAAAGGTTAAAGACTTCCATCTCAAATAAAAATAATTGTTATAATTACACACATCATAGAGTACCTTATAGAGTGATTCCAATATATATGTATATATCAATGTATATATAATCTCAGGAAATACAGCGCATTTTCAAGTCGGAGAGACAAACACCTTCTTATTCACAGTGTTCACAGGGGAACGCCTGTTCACGGATGGGCTGTGTGCAGTCGTGCTCCCGGCAGGCCACGCAGCGCCGCCCTTTCAGAAGGTGAAGTACCGGGCAAACCACTCCTGGCGCTGGGGGTCCGGAGAAGCCGCGGGGGACGCTTCGCTCTGAGGGGGACTGAATTCACAAGAGAGAGACGTGAGGCCCAGTGGGAAGCGGTTTTGCAAAGAGGGAAACACACAAAACGCCAGTGTAAGTTACCACAAGTGGCTCCCGGGGGCTAAGCTACAGCTGCGCTCCATTCTGACAGCAGAGGGCGCCCGCAGCGCACAGAAGCCAGCTGAGGAGCCCCCGCCGCCCCATCAAACCCACCATCCCCCAAACCGAGAAGCAAGCAATTAAAAAAGTAATGTCACTGTCTTTAAATAAAATATTCCCAGGGAAATTGTGTGAGAGAAGACGACCGTGTTCCTCTCTTCCAACACTTCCACCCTTTTAATTTAAATTTCAGAATCAGACACAAGTTTTTGATCCTCATATATATATATATATATATATATATATATATATATATATATATACGTATATATATATGACACTAAGTCAAGGCATAGTGTTTTTTTTTTACTATTTACATAATTAAACATTCATTTCTTAATTCCATAATCAGATACTCCACGAAAAGACCGTAAAAATTCAATTTTGCTTCTATTTTCCAACTTGTGTAACTTACACTTAACTCTTAACTAAAGATTCTTTGTGCTACTTAAGAAAACAAAAGAATCCCTACCGTGTCTGGGGAAAATTACAAGGCACGCAACAATGTAATGGAAATTCCAGTAGTCATGTTTCTGGAGCTCATGCACATGCACCTTACTGATACCTGAACAGTACCCATGCACGGGGTAAGGGGAAATAAGCAACACAAAAGTTTTAGCAGGAGACAATCACACATCTATTTGAGTATTTTTCATTCTTGCTATGTTTTACTATTGAGCTGTTCACTATGTCAGAAATCACTTAACACAAGAACAAAATTAAACTCTACAGGTGGGACTTGTATGAGTGGCATTGCTGAAATTTAGTAAAAAATAAGAAGATACTTCAAAGCAGCAAAAAAGTCAGTAGTAGAAAGGTTTACATAACACAACAGTATTTTCTTATTTGTTGGTTAAATAACTGAATTTCATCCCAAATTTGTTTGTTAATATAGTCAACTCTGAGGTAACTTAAAATTGAATATAAATTTTAAAATTACTTTTTTCTAAATTTACTCTTTTGCTTATATATGCCATTAAGATTCCAGAACTTATAACTTTAAAAAATGAAAATAGGATTATATAATAAGCCTGGTGAGCAAAAACCAAAAAATAAAGACAGAAATTAAAACCATTTAACAAATAAAAATTAAAGCTCTGCAATAACAAAAACTTGGCAGCTCTTCCTACACTTAGAAAACTCACTGATAAGAAATTAGGGGGAAAAAATCTTGGAACAGACTCAAGAGGTGGCACGCCATTATGCAACTATTTCACAGGAATACTCCTCAGGCTGTTCCCTGTAGTGGATTTACATAATATAGGAAGGTGAAATTCTCAAGTTTCAAAAAGAACAAGCCATTGGTGAGACAGGGCTCACCTCAAAAATGTCTTGGGCTCTTTGGGTGGCACTGGCTGTGGAAGAGGTTTGCTGCTGTTGAACTCAATATCGTGGACTGGAGAATTAGGAATGGGATCCAGGCGGGTAGGATGTCCATTGCCCACAATACCAGATTCCAGAGCACTTAGATTGGGAACACTCACAAACCTGTTTGTTGGTGCTTTATCATTCTTCTTCTTTTGCTGCATTAAAAATAATACTTGTGAGGATTGTCCCTGCATAAGGACAAACGAGAAAGTGGAAATCATAGAAGATACAAATTTTGCACCAAAAACTCTTGGAAGCTTTGTGTTAATCATGATGCTAACTGAACCAGTGTTACCCAAAGTGTGGTCTGGGGATCCTTGAGAGTGTGTGTCCACATGGAATCCATCTCACAGATAGACATGCTACCAGGAGAAAAACAGCCAGGAGGAAATGTCTGGGAGCCACCGACCAGGAAACTGGGAGGGGGTGAGCACCAAGGGGTAAGGAGAATACTGGGAGGACATGGGACAAGGGGACAGGAGGAGTAGATCCTCAGATGCCACAGGGTTAAATGGACTTGGGCTAAGATTAGGAAAGGAGTAAAGTTAAAGGTAATTGTAAAACAGAGGTCCTTGAACTTTAACCATCTGTCAAAGGGAGGCAGCTCTTGCCTAAGGAGAAAAAGGAATGAGAAAATGTTGGCAGTGTAGTTTGAGACAATCTCTTATTTCTATTTAAGGCATAAAGCTGACTTAAAGAAATAATGGGGTTTTGAATTTGCTGTGATATCTTTCTGAAGAGAGAAAAATCTGTATGAGTAAGTCTAAATTTATCAATAAATTAGCTGAATAATTAATTGGCTCATAATTTAAGAAATAAATATTATAAAATAAAATTAGCCAATATTAAAAAATTTTAACCGGTCTTTAAAAAGGAACAGAGATTTAAAAAAGAAGGAATACAATTAGTTGCAGACCGTGAAACCCTATCACTTGTAAACCACTAGCTTCAGTCTGAAAGCATTTATTCATACTTCTAGAATTAATAGCTTCAGAATAAAAGCATTTACAATTTTCTCACATTTTGATAATTAGACGTATACTCTAAACTTATGATTTTCTTCTGGTAAAATTAAAACTGGAGTTTGAACAAACAGGTATATACATGGAAGTTTTCACTCATTTACAGAGCAGTGATCTCAACTCTAGATATTTCCTTCTGGGTCATGCTCTATGAGTCACGGTCTCTGAAAAGGAACCTATTTCAGTATTAGCACACAAAGACAGGAATAGTGATACCTTTTCAGATCTAGTTGTGAAAACTGAAGTCATTGTTTAGGAGTCAAAAGTATTTGGGAAGTTCTTACAAAGATTTTTTTTTTTGTTGTTGGTCATGGGGCCTGAACTCTGGGCCTCGGTGCTCTTCAGCTCAGAGCTAACACTCTACCAATTGAGCCATAGCTCCACTTCCGGCTTTTTCTGCTATGTGGTGCATGCGTCGAGCATGCTAGGCAAGCACTCTACCACTGAGCCACCTTCCCAGCCCATAAAGATGTATTTTTAGTTTTCTTATTTTATCATCCGGGGCATCAAAAATACCTACTTAAGTTATGTTTTAAGAAATCAAAAGTATCACTGAGTCATGAATTTATAACAAAATGATTCCAACAAGATCATTAATTTATCTTGTTTCCACAGGTCTCTTAATCTTGTTTTAGTATTAAAAGCTTATTTTACTCTAAATTATCAACTAAAACCTAAATGAATTCTATTCATTAACTAGTCAATTATTAAGAGCTTTCTATTGTCAGGCAGTTCTAAAGATACAGCTACACACCTCTCTAATCATTCTAATTTACAAGATTTTCTATTTATCAAAACACTCAAAATTGGGAGCACTTATGAAGGACAGTTCCTTCCTTTAGTGTTCTTTTTTTGGGGGGGGGGGGTTGGTCGTAGGGTCTGAACTCTGGGCCTGGGTGCTGCTCTCAGATCTTTAGCTCAAGGTTAGCACTCTACCACTTGAGCCACAGGGCCACTTCTGGCTTTTTCTGCTTATATGGTGCTGAGGAATGGAACCCAGGGCCTTATGCATGCAAGGCAAGCACTCTACCACTGAGCCACCTTCCCAGCCCCCTTTAGTGTTCTTAATTGAGAAGTTTTGTATGTTTTTGGAAGCAAAACGTCTGGGTAAGCACCTAGTAGAAATTAGCATGATATGAAACTTAGTAGGATCTGAATTAAAACATGGTTTCAACACCAGTTCTTTCATTTATTTTATGGATTTCTCCCTAGAGATTTACAATCACAATGAAAGCAATACATACTGGCTTTGTTATTTACTCACTACTTGCTGTATGCACAGAATAGTTTGTGGTGACTTATAGAAAACGTGATAGCCTAACTAGCTACTCAGGAGACTGAGATCTTGAGCATCGCAATTCAAAGCCACCCTGAGGAGGAAAGTCCATGACACTCTTATCTCCAATTAATGTCTAGAAAACCAGAAGTGGCACTGTGGCTTCAAGTGGTAGAGCACTATCTCAAGGATAGAGCACTATCCTTGAGTGAAAGAGTTCAAGCCCAGAGTACAAGCCCCATTACAGTCAGACAAAAAAAAAAGTGATAAAATTCTACAGATAAATATTCATTGAATGTACCTACTTTTCCTAAAGTACTACGATTGGAGCCATGGGGTAAAAAGATGTATAAGATACAGTATTCTGTCTCAAGGCTCTTCCATTTGTTCTAAGAGTCCAGTAGGGTATGAGGGTAGGCCACACTTGTAATTTTCAAGGGCAGTCATAAGGCTGAGAGACTCAAGCCTTTTTTTCTGAAATGCCTAGGCAACAAAACTAATGTTCACCTGAGTTTCATTCAGATGGTAGGCCTTAAGCCAGGGAGTAACTGTTGGATATTGGAGGCTGGAGTATTTTGCAGACCCCATTAGGGAGAGTGATAATCAGGAAGGAAATGACAACCGATTAATTAGAGTTACTAGTTTTCATTAGAAATATAAAAACCCCAAAAGGCAGACTCAGTATTTTACAATATTAATAAAAGTTTTATGAAATATAAATTAACAGAAAAAAGTAGTTCATTTTGAAAAGAAACGAGGAACTTATTGATTTTAGTGCTAGATCATTAAATTTAAGAAAATACTTTTTGGAAACATCCTATTCTGCTCCAAATAATTCACCAAATTTTTAACCACGTTTTTAAGGTATATTCCTATTTTCAATGTCCACAGCACATACCTTAGCCAAGGGATTAATAACACCAACAGTAGGACTTGAGTTAAATACTTTGTTGAAGTTAGTTTCTCGATTGACTAATTCCAGCTGATAAAATTTATTATCCTCCTATGCAAAAGAATTATAAACATCTTTTCAACATTTTCTATTGAATATTTACAAACTTAACTGTATAAATGCCACTTCATTCAGTTTAACAGAAAAATGGATGGTTTGTATACTCAGTTAAAAAATTTCTAGCCAGGTTTGGCAATGCCTCAAAGGTTGCTGGTAGCTAAATTTTCTACATCTTTTGAACCCCATGCTCTGGGACTCTACCCTACCCTTTGCCACTTTTCCTTTTAAGACTGGCACCACCTCTGTTTTATAGAGATAAAGGTGGATCTTGAGCAGGTGTAACTTGTATTCATATTTGGCTAGTTTCTACACATGAAGATGATGGCACTACTATGATTTATCACTATTTTTCAGTTCCTGGAGATTGATTTGACTTTGTCTGACCTTTTCCCTTGAGCTATCAGTGCATTAGAGCAATAGCAACAGAAAAAAAAAGTGAACTGCCCATACAGAGATAAAACCTTTGCTTGAGGATTCATGAAAAACAAGTGACACTAACGGAACCCTAGACTGTTGGAAGGCATAGCAGATAGAGCAGTGTGAGTAGAGGCAAGGGTGTGCTTTAGTAGAACCAGATTCTAGTGGAGTCAAGCAGAACTAGATCATCAGCTCCTTTTAGTTACCAATCAACTTAGCATTAATCTTGGCACAGGTGCCTTATAGACCAGAAACTAGGGTTATTGTATTAAGAGTATAAAATAACTCTTGGCTACATTCCTTGCCCTGAGTAGACGTGTTGCTTTGCAAAGTTTAAGTTATTCGATGAAGTCTAATACCTACATGTTGTAACAATAAAACACAATTATATATGTAAATACCCCCTCGATAAGAACTGGAAATCAATATATATATAATTATACATAAGTTATACATATAATTTACTTGCTTGCATTTTGGGTAGTACTGTGGCTTCAACTCAGGAGCCTCATGCTTTTGCTCTGCTTTCTTGATATGGCTGGTATTTTATGCCACTTGAGCCATGTCTCCTCCAGTTTGGCTTTTTGCTCACTAAATGGACATAGCATCTTTTCTGTCTCATCTGGCTTTAACCTGATTCAAGCCTTAGCCTCCTGAATAGCTAAGATTACCAGTATGAGCCACAGGCACCTGGCTATTTTATATACAAAACAGAGTGTAATTTTCCCTGAGTCTATTGCCATCACTTTGGCCATCTATGAGGCCTCTGCTCATGTGGACAAAACTTGGAGAACTTGGCTGGTGGTGGATGGAGGCAGAACCTCCTCTGGGATCCCTGGACACTGGTTGGTCTTGTTGCTTTCAGTAAAAACATCCAATTTTAGAAAATAGGTGGACTTTCCTAAGTTTAAGTGTTAACTTTTACACTCTTTGCATGCTAATACCCAGTTTTCCGCTAGGACTAAATGAGTGAGTTGGATTTTTAGCTTTATTATGAAAATTTTTCATTTATTAGTGGCAGTAAAAAGCAATATTTTAATTGTTCACAAGGACATAGTATTTTAGAGATATTTTATGAATTTAAGATTTTTGCATACATTATTAGGGAATGTTGGCTTTAATGAAGGCAATGTGTTTATTCTTATAGCTTACTTTCATCTCTGAACCCTTAACATCTTAGTACCGCTGACTCTTCAAGAGACAGCATGAAGCTTCTTAGGCTAGACCACAGAACTTCTTTCTATAGATGTCTCTTTGAATCTCTGTTTAGGAAATTTATGTGAACAGTCTGAATGCATGTACATAGCTCAATACTTAGCTGCTGAGGAGCAATGACAATATTCAACATTCAATGTATTGAAAAGAATACATCTTTTTGAAAAATACTGATGAAAAAAGGCATGACTCCCTTACCCTGATGCCAAATATAAATTACTTTAATATTATTTTGTATTCTCATGACAAATATTTTAATAAACTTACCATAAGGAACAGATTCTATTCTTTCCATTTCCATCTTTGCATTACTTAAAAATATTTTCCCTGTTTTCCCCATCAACAGTCTATCGATTAACTGATATAATTATACCCAAACCAAAATGTCTTACAATTAATTTCTTGATGACCTGGTCTCTTTCTGTAAGCATGGCCTTCAACTCTGTAATCAGCTGCACATCTTCTGGCTTTGATTCTCTCATCAGATACTTTTCTTCCATTTCATCCAGTCTAAACACAGGAAAACTTTATCTCATTGAAATGACTCAGACAATATTCTTTTATAACAAATAACTAGTCTGGTTAAACTCACACATATGAATTTAAAACAAGACATTTAAATCGTAATACCATGACTGTCTGAAGACTACAGTTATATTAAAGGCTTTGTAGGGGATACATGATACTAAGTGATTTGAAGGTTGCTTTTGGAAGAATTCACCCATTTTAAGCCATTCAAGAGTATCTGGAGATGAGTTCAGGTGTGCTCTGTAAAAGAAATGGTATGCTGAATGCTATGAACCTAACAAATGACCCAGGATCAATGCTAGAAATGGAGCTTCTATCAGAAGTCGTTTCAATACGTACAATTTGGTGTATGGCATAAGGCTTAGTGACATATATAAAGGGGACAAGAAGAGATACAGAGGAAAGAGGGACGAAAGACACATATGTATGCCCTCATTCTTTCTTGGCTTGTGGGAAGTCCAGTTTTAAAATTCCTATTATCTACCAACATATATAAAGTGAAAAAGATTCATAAGCTTAGAGAAAAATCAGGCTTCTTTGTAAGCCTACTGTTCCCTGGATGACAAGAGATGGCCACAGGACCAAACATGACTTTGAACAGAGGCCGCTTTTTATGAGGTGACAATTGGTGTCCTGCACAATCTGAGAGTTCAGGACAGTATACAGTATGTGGTATAAGATAGAAAATGATTCAAGACAAAACTATTGGCTTAGTGTTTTGTTTTGTTTTGTTTTGCAGGGGGAAGGCACCTTCAGACTTAGAAGTTGTAAATAATTGAAATACAACTTTTTTTAAAATTGGGTTTAGAATGTAAAGGTTCGAAGTTAAGCTTTTAAAGTTGTGGTTAATGAAGAGTCACAGAAAAATGTACTCACTTGACAAATATTGAGTGACTTTCACATGAACAATCATTTAGAAATCAGTGATATCTCAGTTCCTCTCCCCTCCCACTCCTACTTTCCCCCCCTCTGCCAAATTCTAGAGAGGTCCTCGAATCACTGCGTATTTCACTGCTACCTCCACTGCTAACAGCCCCAGTGAAGGCAGGCCTGGCCATTTGACTGGTTCTAATGTGGCATGTCGGGGAGGGCTGAGGGCAGGGAGTGGGGCATTAGGAAGCGATTGTTTGCAGGCTCAGTTGGAACTTCTGGCTTCACTGCCAAGTTAGTCAGAAAAGTCAGAAAACTTTATTTCTCCTTTCTTTTAGGAATTCAGATTGGGATTCTCTGACTCCACATTGAGGTTATCGCACAATTTTATTACAATATGGAGGGTTTCTTCTTACTCATTTTATGGGCAAAGGTCTAAGAAGGTTGATAGGTGGTATCTGGTTAAGGAAGAAGGCACTTGGGCTCCATGCTAGAGCAGCCACAAGATGTCACTGGAGCCCTTTTCTTTACAGGGTTCTGGGGCTGCTTCCTGCAACTGAAGAGCAAGTCTGGCACAGATAATAGGAAACTGTCTAACAAATCATTGTCATTTTAAAAGTACTGTTTCTATTTGTTGCAGTACAACAAGATGTCAGGTAAATTGAGTCTACAACAGAACACCCTTTGTTGCATAGTATAGCGCCGTGAATCCAAATTCTGCTGTGTGTTTTCACATAGCTTAAATATTCTTTACCTACATAATTATCAATTAATCCTCTTCATAAGCTATCTTTACATCACCCACATTTTAATATTAAAAGATAACAGGATATGAGAGGAAAAATAATCAGAAACAATCTATAATGCACATGGGAAAGCATTAAAGGAGAGAACAGATAAGCAATATGACACAGAAAACGCTTCTAGAAAACTAGTGTCTCAAAATTCTAGTTGTAACAGTAGACAAGTTCCCTTTCTTCAGTTGCCTGGCAGCCCTCTATACTAGCACTGCTTCTCAAGACCAGCCACAAGTGACTGTCCATCACCCCTAAGTCTGCTTTTCTTGAATCTTTTTTTGTCGTAATTGTGGTTCTATGATCTAAAATGGCCTTCATAACATCTGCTGTTTATCCTGTTTCACATCACTCCAGTAAACACTGCACATGGTGCTAACTAGGTTCCGATTTTAGTTTCACAGAATTTGCATCCACAATTATAGTTTTTAACTTTTACCTAGATTAAGGGATGGGATTTTTCTTTCAATAGTGATGATGGTTTTAATGGACTCATATTACAACATCAAGTTTCCTTGTTAACTTTTTATGTTAAAATGAGTTAACAGGCATTCACATAGTGTGAAACCAAAGAAGGATATTCTTAGGAGAGGATCACAATGGTGCAATAGCTCTGTGCCTCGGATCATATAAAATATTATTTATTGAAATGAACTCCAGGAAATGGCAACAAGATTTTTTGTTTTTATATGTTGCTGTTTGTTTTCTTTTCCTTTTGTCTTGTTTGTTTACCTGTCTTTGAGAAGGTAAGGGGGCACAGAAATGGGACAAAGGGTGAAGAAATATAGCAATGATTCTTACTGAAAATGAACTATACAACTTGTGGGTAGGAACAAGAGGGAAAAACTAGAATAGAGTGAGGGGAGGGGTGGCTGTTCAAAAAGAAATGCACTCTTTATCTGATGCATGTAACTATAAACACTCTGTATATCACCTTTATAATAATAAATAAAAATTTAAAGTATCAAGGAAAAAATTTCAAGAATATCTGCTGATGTTAAGAAAATATCAGCAAATATGACCAAATCCCCATTGAAGTCTGGGAAACACTTTCTTCAAAAGACCACACAATATATTCAGCCTTTTATTCAAAATAGACTCCCGTTAACAGCAATGCAAAACCTGAACAGAAAGGAAAACACATAAAACAACTCCTTTGTATTGCTGCTGGATCCTCAGCACGAGTGAATGCCCTGATTTAATCCCCCCTCCCCCACCGCCATCCCCCTGAGAATGCACAGGTCAGCACACAATTCATGAGCAGCACAGGCATATAAGATTGTGTAAAAGACTGTATAAGATTGTGTAAAAGCGTTTTCAAGTTCTAGTTCTGCTCATGTATTTTATAGAAAATAAGTGATGACAATCAGTGCATTGAGAGCTAAGCAACAGTATTTAGGGGCACATTCATTATTATTATTGATAATAAATTTTATAAAGATGAGGGAAGTCTGTCACATCAAACTTTATTGTATGAAGTAAAGGAAATGGAGCTATGAAACATTTTAATGGTTAGCTTCTTTTCCAATTGATTCTGGGCTCATATTCTGATTGTGATAACAGGGTTGCTCTCTCTCTTTTTCTTTCTCTCTCTCTCTCTCTCTCTCTCTCTTTCTTTCTTTTTCTTTTTGTCAGTCATAGGGCTTGAACTCTGGGTCTGAGCGCTGGTCCCTCAGCTCTTCAGCTCAAGGCTAGTGCTCTACTGCTTGAGCTACAGCACCACTTCCAGTTTTCTGGTGGTTTTTATTAAAGAGTTTCAGGGACTTTCCTGCCCGGGCTGGATTTGAACCATGATCCTCAGATCTCAGCCTCCTGAGTAGCTAGTATTACAGGCGTGAGCCACTGGCGCCTGGCTCAGGGTTGCTATTTCATTACTTCACACAAGGTTTATACATATGAACCAAAGAACAAAGTAAGAGTCAATGTCAGGCACTAGTGGCTCACACTTTTAATCGTAGCTACTTAGGAAGCTGAGACATGAGTATCCTGGTTTGAAGCCATCCCAGGAAGGAAAGTCCATGAAATTCTTATCTCCAATTAACCACTAGAAAACCAGAAGTAGAGCTGTGGCTCAAAAAGTTAAGGGACAGTGTCCAGGCCCTGAATTCAAGTCCTACAACCACCACCACCAACAACAAAAAGTTCGTTCAAACAATAATAATAACAAAATCATGTGGGATACTATAAGATAAAAGGAGTTAAAAAAAGGAGTTAAAATCTAGATGTGAAGGAGTGTTTCGTTTTAGTTAGGATTACTGACCTATTTAATGTCCAAGTACAGAATCACCATTTCTTTCATGAAGAAATTATCTTTTTGTCCTACTACAGAGGCAAGTTAGTATGAAGTAAACCTGAAACACCAATATTAATCTCCGAACCATTTTGCATAGCAAACTTCTGTCATGACCTTAAGTTCTAGAGAATGTTTTTGTTTAGCTTAACCTTAACCTACAGAAATATAAGTGACTAGCCCATTCCCTCATTTGCTTTAAAATGAATAAAACACATGAGTTTTTGCAACTAGATATAAGCATCTTACTAAAATACCATACTGAAGGGAAGTTTTAAATATAACACTCTGAAAAATCTAAGAGGATTTTAATATGTTGACCTAGAGAACAGAATTTCAATATGTATTTCAAAAGAGATGGTAAAATCTTACAGCCTTTGCCACAATACCTGGAAATTGGTTACTGCCCCACCTCTTGAAGCCCCATGAGAAGGAGAGAGAGGGGAAAGAGGGGGAGGAGCAGCAGCAGCTGCAGCAGCAATAACTCAGACATGTCCCTCAGCATCACAAGCTGGAAAGGACTTGCTCTGCCTCCCAGCACTGCAGAAATCCCAGCCACTCATCAAATCCAAGCAGGCTTTTTTAAGGCTACAGATAGATATATCCCATTGCTGCTTTCCCACATGGCAGCCTCTAATCTATATGAGGCCATTTGCATTTAAATTCATTAAAATAAAATTTAAAATTCATTTCCTCAGTCACACCAGCTACATTAGCCATTTGTGGCTACCAGCTACTGTACTGAACTAAGCAGACAGAAAATCTATTGGGCAGAACACCAGTTGAGAGCAAATTCACGTGTGATTATTTTTAACTAAAAAAGTAAATACCTAAAGCTAAGGGAAATTATATAGTGACAGCAGATTTCTGGTGAAAAAAATATGTGGTTGATTAACATACACCTGCAGTGTAGTTTAAGATAAATACCAGGTGTAGAAAAGCAGATAAAATATTTCACTTCTCAGAAATACTAATTCTTCAATAATTAACATGTAATAACATAGAAAACTGAATTGTTGGTTACCATCTATTGAAAATTCATAATGTACAAAACCATAAAAAGAAGAAAGCACAAAAGATACAATCTTTACTGTTCGTAAACTAATGTTCCTGAGGACACAGGACAGACAGACAGAGGTTGCTCTTTGTGTGAGTTTGTTCTTTCAGAGTATGAAGAGGGAGGCCAAGATTTCAGGGTCTACCCAATGAGGGTTGAGGCTGTGAGAAGTGGGAGCTTAGAGACTGAGGTTGATTTTTGTTTCATGTCTGCAAAGAAAATGAAGCTATCTTGAAGAATTTGTACAAGGCAAATACCTGAGTCCATACTGGCTCTAATAACAACAAAAGCCAAAGTCATTATGATTGGGAAATAAACAGTAAGTTTCTTCACCATTTGAAGGACAGTTTCACAAAGGGGTTAGTTTTGCGAAGGGGAATCCTCATAATTAATAATATATTCACTGAATACCACTGACATGAATCCATAAAAAAACAACCAGCTTATCTCAAAGGAAACTCAAAGGGAATGCTACCTAGAGGGTCAACTTTGTTTCTGCATGTGTATGTATGTGTTTGCATCTGTGTATGCAGAACTATTTACTGAGACAAGACTAAACTGCTAGGGTGACATAGGATACAATGATTTCTATGTTTGAAGAAGGTAATTAGATATCAATAACCTAGGAAGGAGAACATGGCTCACTGAAGTTAAGGGACTTTGACACCCAGGGTCATGAGATTAGACACAAACTGTGATTGTATTGAAGTACGTGGATAATTAATTGGAAGAGGAGATATTAAAGGTGAATGCACCATTAGCCACAGTTTAGATTAATTCTAAGATAATCTAAGTTGGATCAGGTTTAAGTCACAAAAATAGATTAAATACAGTTTGACTGAACTATTAACAGTTTATAAGTACCCAGGAAAGAGAAGGCTGTTAATTGTTGTTAAGCACATTCAGTAATTTTTTTTATTTTAACAATATTGGAGTTACTACATAAGAATAGTAACTTTATGTGTACTGATTTGGGTAAGTTTTTTTCTTTTGGTGGTGATAATGGGGTTTGAACTCACAACCTTATACTTGCAAGGCAGGCATTCTTCCATTTAAACCATGACTTTATCCATTTTTGTTTTAGTGATCAAACAGGGTCTTACTTTTGCCTGGGGAAGCCTCAGATAATTCTCCTACATAGTTGGGATTAGAGATGTGAGCCAACATGCCAAGCTTGTTCTGTGAGATACAATCTTGCTGTCTTGCCTGGTCTAGCTTCTAACTTGCTATCTCTGTCTGAGTAGTTGCAATAATAGGGCAAAGTATTATGCCTGGCTCATCATGGATTTTTCTTTTTAAATCTTGACAGAATTAAAGGATTATAGAAATTCAATGTACTTTAGGTATATGAAATCTTTGTTTCCCATACCCCCAGTACTACTTAATCTTACTCCCTAAAGAGAACTACTAATGTTAAACACTGTTTGTTTTTTAGACAATCTTGATATGTTTGTAAAATACATGTTATTAGTGTAAGCAGAGGATTATAACACATTTGGACACATTTTGAGTTGTTCCTATGGCAGAAGTAAACCACCAGGAACATTTCTTTCTTTCTTTTTTTGGTTGGTCATGGGGCTTGAACTCTGGGTCTGGGCGCTGTCCCTTAGCTCTTCAGATCAAGGCGAGTGCTCTACCACTTGAGCTACAGCGCCACTTCCGATTTTCTGGTGGTTTATTGGAGATAGGAGTCTCACAGTCTTTCCTGCCCGGGCTGGCTTTGAACCGTGATCCTCAGATCTCAGCCTCCTGAGTAGCTAGGATTACAGGCATGAGCCACCAGCGCCCGGCTCACCAGGGACATTTCTTTAAGGTCAGAATTATCTTAGTGGACATGCAGCAGAAGCTGATAAGATATAATGAGTCAAATGCCTCTCCCTAATTAAAGGACATATCACACTGCAATTATCATCCACAATACAGTACTTATGTTTGCTTTCTTAAGTATCATTTTTATTAGACTCCAAACAGCAGTTTATCTGGGCTTAGACACAGTGCTCCTCAGTTTATTATCCAAATATAAATTTTCTTTAACATAATATGACTTACGACACTTGTAAAGCAGCATTTATTTCCTTGAGTAGCTCATTAGTCTTATTAAAATCTGCTCGCATGATATTTTTCTCTCTGAGGTGGTCTGCTGTCAAGTCATCCAGTTCTTTTTCAAGTTTCTTGTTTAAATCTTGTTCATGCAACCTGTTTAATTTATTTTTAGTTAAGAAAATGTTATTCTGAAGTCAAGTTTTCAAAACTTTTTATAGTTTATAAAGATTTGAAATGATTCTCTTTGGGTATAATATATGGAAAATTAATGTAAAGAACCTAAATTAAGCTACATACTTTGCTATAACTTTCTAGCTTGCGTTCAAGTTGTCTCCTTTAATGCTTTTCTAACATTTAAATAAGATTTTAGTTAATCATGTACAATTTCCCAAGTTAATGTTACACACACACACACACACACACACACTTTCACATGCATGCACGCACACATGCATCCAAAACTGTCATCATGCAACTTTTCCCCTCTGCTATGGATTATAACACAGTCATCAAGTAGAGTAAATTGGTTTTCAGCCTGTAGTAGAATGCAGTCTAGAAACAAAGCACCAGGAATACATTGCTAAATAGCATGGCGGCAGTTGTTTAGGGAATGCTGCCCATCCCACCTCCCCCACTCCTGTCATTCTTGGCATACCTCATCTGCTGGTTAGATTCACTTCGTATTCTGAGGATTTCCTTCCCCTTAAATTCCAGTTCTTTGGTTAGGGCATTGATGTTGTCATGAAGGTGCTGTACCTCCTTATCCAAGTCAGAGATATGATGTTCTCTGTGCCTTAACTCTTCCTGCAGATCTGTGATTCTACACAGGTGCTCCTTACTCTAAAAAGATAAATCATTCTGAAACATTTTCTACACATTTACTTTCTGTGTAAAGAAATGGCATACTTGAATGCCAAATATAATCATTTTCATGTTGCCTTACAAACATCCCCTTCGGTTTCCATATCTCTAAGGAGTATTGATATAGAGATAGTTTTAATCACTTCAGGACTACAAGGAACCCCAAGGATCATAAAAGCACATGTCCTCCATTTTATAATGAGGCAAACAATATCTATAAGCTGATTTGTCCCAAGGTTTATAAGTAATGGCAGAACTAATATTATAACACGGGCTTCTTGGTTATACATGTTCTTGTAGTAAAATGTTAGCAATACAGTCTTAATCTAAAAAGGAGCTGCCTCTATGGCGGCTCTCCCCCCCCCCCACACACACATCCCAGAGCTTAGTAAGCAGTTTCTGCTAGCTCAGTGGTGTCCCAGAAATTATCTAATAAATTACCTTCCCTCCATTTTCCTAACAGTCATTGTTTCCTACAAGCTTTATGCTTTTGTTTTGTTTTGATTTTGCTTATCTTTTGTTTTGTTTTGTTTTTTGCCAGTCCTGGGGCGTGAACTCAGGGCCTGGACACTGCCCCTGAACTTCTCTTGCTCAAGGTTAGCACTCTACCATTTGAGCCTCAGCACCATTTCCGGCTTTTTTTGATTAATGTGGTACTGAGGAATCGAACCTACGGCTTCATGCATGCTAGGCAAGCGTTCTACCACTAAGCCACATTCCCAGTTCCCTGCAGTTAGTTAATACTGGTGAATTTCTGTGCAGGCCTTCATGGAAGAGAACAACCCTTCACAGCTGTGAGGTGCCTCATTTAAAGCCTTTTGGTGTTGAAAAAAGAACATTTGGGCTGACTAATCATTCAGCTTAGGTGAAGATTAAAAAGCAGAAGTCCGAAGCCTAACAAACTAATGTCTAAAACTTCATCCTTCCAGACATAACTACACTTAAGATCACTAAATATCTAATTAAAGGAAAGTACACTGGGCTGAAGATGGGAATTTAAGAAGTATAAATAGTAGCTCTGCTAGAATGCTATGGAAACGGAAGGTATCTTCGTTCCTCTTGACAACTTACTCCTTCTGTAGCTGTGCCATCTGCTATGACTGCTGGTTTAAAGTCAAATTGAAAATGTACTCTTATGGTTGCACTAGATACATTTGACCCCTATAGCTACTGAACACCATGGTAGAGGGCTCCGAAGCATCATCATGGATAGTTCTATTAGATTATAACATCCTTATTCTTCATATCAGTTATATATGTATTTTTGTGTGTGTCAGTAGTGGGGATTGAACTCAGGGTCTCATGCTCTTGCTTATTTTTTTCTACTCAAAGCTAGCTCTACCCCTTGAGCTACTCCTCTACTTCTTCCTCTTTTTGCTGATTGAATTTGAATACCAGTCTCATGGACTTCATTGCTTCAAACCATGACCCTCAAATCTTATCCTCCCAAGTATCTAGAATTACAGGTGTGAGCCACCAGCAACTGGCTAGTTAGTGTTAGTTACATTTCATTGTTCATTTGCCCAGTTGGCCAATATAATTCAATATTCCATCAGAGGATGATAAAAAATAAAATGCAATTTTATGTCTACTAATGTAAAATTACTTTTACTTGTCCCTGAAAAACAGAAATATATAATAAATATAAATAATAGCTTATAAAAAGAGTAGCTATTAGAGCCGGGTGCTGGTGGCTCACGCCTGTAATCCTAGCTACTCAGGAGGCTGAGATCTGAGGATCTCGGTTCAAAGCCAGCCCGGGCAGGAGAGACTGTGAGATTCCTATCTCCAATAAACCACCAGAAAACCGGAAGTGGCGCTGTAGCTCAAGTGGTAGAGCACTCGCCTTGAGCTGAAGAGCTGAGGGACAGCGCCCAGGCCCAGAGTTCAAGCCCCACGACAGACCAAAAAAAAAAAAAAAGAGTAGCTATTAGAATATGATTTTCAGAAAACTGTGAGCATCCTGGCTACTTATAGTCAAGGATTATCAAAGAGCAGAATATTCTTACCTGTCTTCTGCTGATATCTATGCTTCTTTCCAACTCCATCTTAGCAGCTGCCAGTTCTTGATGATGATTATGCCGTAACAAATCAATTGAAGCTGCATGTTGATGGTTGAGTTCTGAGCGTAAAGAAGCTTAAATGCAAAGAAAAAAAAAAACATTAGGAAATTCAAAAACATTATCAATACTTTAGACAAAGTGGTAATATACAGAATATTATAGACAACTTTAAATATGGTTACTATGTGAGGAAACTGTGTCATTCTTACAACAGAGATGCAAAATGATATGGCCATTCTGGAAAAGTTTGGCAGTTTAAAAAAAAAAGCCAATGAGATGTATAAGATGTTATGTTGAAAAACAAACTTTACAATTTTGGCGGGGGGGGCCTGGGGGAGCAGGGAAGCCGGGGGAGGGGTCGGGGGAGGAGATGGGAAAGGATGGGAAGGGGAAACAAAGGAGGAGGCAACAATGCTTGATAAGAAGTGTACGCACTACCTTGCTCATGTAATTGTAACCCCTCTGTATGGTATTTTCACAATAAAAAAAACAAACAAACACAACTACTGTATTACCAAGCAACTGCTCTCCTGGGCTTTCATCCCAAAGAAGTAAAAGCTTATATTTACACAAAATGTACTAGGAATGTTTGAACTCATGAAAGTAATAGCTAAACTGAAACCTCAGATGACCTGGGGTGATGGACAATAAACTGCTGAAACCATGGAATAGTACTTGGCAATTAAAAGGAACAAATATTGAAACACACAATGAAGAGTGAAAAAGCCAGTTAGTAAGGTTAGATAGTGCATGACTCCATTTAGCAATTGTCAGGAAAAAAGTGAAAAGCCAGTTAGTAAGGTTAGATACTGTATGACTCCATTTAACAATTGCCAGGAGTTCCAGGCAGACAGGAGAGGGCTTACTGTGGCCATGAAAGGACACAGGGATCACCATGGCAATACAAGCATTATCTTCTCAGTGTCCGTGTCAATATGCTGGCTGTGACTCTGTACAGCAGCTTACAATGCTGCCACTGGGAAAACTGGGGAAAGGCAACTGGGGGTCTCCCTGCATTATTTTTTAAAACCACGTGTAAACCTACAATGATCTCAAAACAAAGTTTTTAAAAGAATTCCCCAAATCTTTCATCAACAAAAGGGTATTTTCTCTATTTCTTCTTCTTTTTTTTTCTTTTTTTGGTGTGGTATCAGAGATTGCAGCCCACCTCGCTTGTTAGGCAAGCACACTGCCACTTCACCAACTATGGCTCCAGTTTAACCATAAGGCTTTTACATCATACTCTAATGCACGGAACAGCAATGGTTCCATGTTCTCTGCTCTTTTCCTCACATAGCGGTGGAAATGTTCCCTTTGGCAACCATTCTATAAAGGCCACCTCTACTGTGACTGTCATCCCTGTACAAAGACAGCAGTAATTCACTTTTAATTCCATTTTCTTAGAAGTCTCTAAGATATCATTTATATATATATATATATATATTTTTTTTTTTTTTTTTTTTGTCGGTCGTGGGGCTTGAACTCTGGGCCTAGGCGCTGTCCCTCAGCTCTTCAGCTCAAGGGGAGCACTCTACCACTTGAGCTACAGCGCCACTTCTGGTTTTCTGGTGGTTTATTGGAGATAGGAGTCTCACGGTCTCTCCTGCCCGGGCTGGCTTTGAACCGAGATCCTCAGATCTCAGCCTCCTGAGTAGCTAGGATTACAGGCGTGAGCCACCAGCGCCCGACCATTTTTATAAATTTTTGATAAATGTTCACCCTTAACATGATTTGCTTGCTAGCTACCATAGTACCTTTTCTATGGCGAAGAGAAGAGAGCTATCAGACTAGGCCTAGAACTCCTGGTGGCCAAAGCAAAGACCAACAGGGTGAAATGGCTTTTCCTTTCAGGCCCAAATATTTCACACTTCGTTCCTAAATCCTACCTGGAAAGAATGTGTACTACAACATGACAAACATGAGCTAAAAATATTAAGAAAATCTCTCCATCCATCTCCATCCAGATAACCAACAAAATGCTGGCCTGAATGTGTGGTTCATGAGCAAGATAGCCAAATGAAAGCTTGAGATGCTAAGTTTAAGCCCTGGTACCAGTACACCCTCAAAATATATTAGGAGAATTTTGAATAAACCAGACAGAAAGAAAATAAGGTAGAAGGTAGGAATACAATAATTACTCAATTATGTTACCAAACAAAATCAAAAGCAGATCTTTAAATATATATCTAGTTTTTCTTCAGAATTCATCACCTTATAAAAGGGATCATCTCCTAGGTTAAAAAACAACAACAACAAACATGTAAAATATACTTAAAGGGTAAATTGAATCATAAGTTTTGTCACGAAAACAAAATCCTGAAGTGGAAAAGCCAACATGACCATGCAATCTGAAGAGATGAGTCCTACATGGCTTCATGTGGTCCACTGGACTGGACCCTGGCGTCTCAGGTAGTCTGAATGTTCTCACACTGTTTAGTACCATGAGGACAGATGGGAGCACCAGGGGCTGTTTCCTTCAGAGCCAGAAGGCAGAAAAGGCTGAGAGGACTCTGCAATCTACCTACTCTATTCCTCCCTTCGAGTAGCTTTGAATAAAATCTCCAGCACATTTTAATATTCACCTTGAATGCGTCAAAAGATAAAGATAAAAGCTTATGATTCCATATTGAATTTTAAGATATACAAATATATTTGACATAAATATAATCTTTCACAAATACCAAGCATAGCCTTTCCTTCATCTTCTAATTCAAACCGAAGAGTCTGGAGTTCCTGTTCCATTTCTACCCGGAAGCCCTCCATTGACTCTCGGTGTGCATCTTTTAGTGACTGAAGTTCTGCAGAATGTTTTTGTTGTAAGTGATTTTCAAGAGCCTTGATAGGAGAATCAATTCAAAGACAAGAAAAAATACAAACAAAATAGAACAAAATAAGTTACCAAATAAGTTACCAAAACTCAGTTATCAGTTATTAAGAACAAGGTTTTTTAGTTCATTTTTAAGAAAGTTAGATGCAAGGTATTCATCATCATTAGAAAATAAATTATTAGGGACAATACAGAAGAATGAATCATCAGGACATCAGTGTGACTCAGATATTTTGATGAATTGGAAACACACACAGACCTTTACTTAATGCTGCCTTCAAACAAAATTGTTTTCTAAGCTGCTAACAGGGTATAAACTACCTAAAACTAATAAATAATTCCTTGTGTGCAAGGCTTAAACTTAGGAATGAGGAGGAGAAAGGTATTACTAAGGCAAGATCTTTTTTGTTTTTAATTAGTACTTATTAATAGTACGAAAGAACTTCACTGTGATAATTCCATGGATGTATGCATAGTACTTTGAACACGTTTACCACCTCTGTTATGTCCCTATGTCCCTTCTTTTCTTCCCTCTGTTCAAACAGCATTTGGTGGACTTCATTATGTTGTCTCCACAAGATTTCCACCTTGCTTGGAGAAGTACACTGAGGGCTTTTATAACTTCAACCTTGTTGAATATTTTGAGGCTATTTCCAGCAGTTATTTTTTGCTTCTGAATTTGCTTCTGAAATTCACACAAATTCAGAGTAGGTAGCTGGAAAAGCAAACTAAAGGCTTTGATGAGATTAGCATTAAAAGTTTAGCCAGAGAGAAGCAATTCCTTGTGCCAAGGACTAAGATAAAAATATATGGCCACAGGGGGAAGAAGGGAACATGGTGATCAGGATACTTCAAGTTCAGATTCTAAACTGTGAGAGACCATTTTTGTTTTTCAATGTTTGTTTCACTTTTACTATAATTCATAAAATCAAACTTTGCTGAGACAAATAGACACCATACTGTACCTATGACTGCATTTCTTTAGTCATTTTCCCAAAATGCTATTTCAAAAAATTAGTATTTAACTATTTATGCTCACTATTTTAAAAGTGTTTTTTTTTCTGTATAATGAGAATAAAGTATGTAAGGGTAAGAATTAGGATGAAAAGATATATGTCTTAGATAAATATCTTCTTTGTGGACTCAGAATGAAAAAAAATTAAAAATTTGATGTAAGACCGTCATAAGAACAATAATATTAAGGGTTCAGAATGACTATAGCTCAGAATGGTCGTGTTAAAAGATTAAACTGAAATTATTTCATCACTGTTACCTACCTAACAACCAGAGAGTATATTGATCTTGGTATTATTATTAGAAACAAATAAAATGTTGACCCAGTTAATTTGTATACTGTATACAATAATTGCATATGTTTAATCACTGTGTCCACCTACAGGAAGTCACATCCTAAAAAACATATTTAAATAAAACATGTTTTGGAGCAATAAAAAATTCTTAGGAATCTGAAGGTTAATTGTGACTAGGCTCGCGGAGTAAATGTGAACTCACTCTTTGCTCTTTTTCTTTTTCTTCTTCCATGGTCTGAAATGCGAGGATGTGTGCTTCTTTTAATGATTTCTGTCTTTGTTGGTGTTGCTCCTCTAACTCTTCCAGCTCTTGGGTAAGCCGCTGTCGTTCTTGTGTGAACTGGGCCTGCAGCTGCTGCAAAGAAGTCTGCGACTGGGAAAGCTGCATCTCCAGATTCTGTTTCAGCAAGGAAATCTACACCACAGAACGGTCCGCAAGGAAGAGGAAACACAAGGCAGGGTCACAAATTGCCAAACAAAGGGGGAAAAGCATTTCTAGGATATTTTACAAAATAATCACCTAAAGACTTCCACTTAAATTGTTTTACAATAAAAATCTAATATTGAGATATCACCATTCTTAATTCTATTTTCAATAGTTGCCTTGAAAATAGTTTAGTTGTGTTATCTATAAACGCAGGAATCTGAACCCTCCGTTAGAAATTCTATGTAAATGTTGCAATAGAAAAAAATCATGATATGAAATAAAAACAAGACAACATATTTATAGGGTTGTGGTTACTTGGAGGAGGTAAAGTTAAAACTGCTAATTCGTGAAGACTATGGGTTCTGAGTTAAAAAACAACAACAACACAACAACCTTGCTCTGGCACTGTAATGTAAACATCAATTCTTCACGTTATAGGGAAAATTAGGTGTGTTACTATGTACACTCCTGTAGAACGGGCTCCTACCCCTACCACATACAATAAGCATTTGGTAAATGATGCACTATTTGAAAATAAAAGACTTATTTTTTAAAAGATTTGTCAGTTTAAAGCTTGGAATCCTTCTATAACAAATTTGGTCTAAATGTTCATTTTTGTATTTTGAAACTTTTCAATGTTGACTTAGTTCAATGTGTCTTCCTTGGAAGACTCCTCTCTCTCCCCGGGCCTATGCTTCCTCAGCTTGCTTCTTTGGCTAGTATTCCACCACTTGAGCCATACCTCCAGCCTAGCATTTTGCTGCTTAGGTTGTCATTTATTTATTTAGCTCAGCCTCCTCAGTAGCTAGGATTATAGACGTGAGTCACTGTGCCCAGTGAACTTGATAAACTTTTAAGCTTTTTAAAAATAATAAACATCTTCCAAACTTCCAGTTACTACCTTATGATAATATATAAGATAGTTTGCTTTCCCTATATAAAATTTACTTATCAGTCCTTTTCAAAGCAGACAACATCAGTTTAGTATGTCTTTCTACATAATTTAATATAATTAAAATGAAATCTTTATCAAGAATAAAAAGCACATGTAGACATATTTTATACATGTTTATATATCCTATTGATTAATTCATTTAATTTGATCTATATGTAGACTCATACATAATCTCAAAATTATATGATTATATTAAATGACTACATAACTCAATTAGACTCTAAAACAAATCAGAAGATAAGAGGGAAAAGCCAATAAAAATTTTAACTAAGATGCATAAGCAAATTAAGATAAAAATGAAGCAGTTCCTGTAGCCAACAAAGCCAATGAAAGAGGAAACTTGTGAGTTTTTGTACATGGGAAAGATTTTCTTTTGATTGATGGCTATCTTCCATGTCTCACAAAGAAAATATGTTGGAAAGTAAGAGAATGAGTAGGGAACCATCAGACATGTAAAGCAAGAAAAGGGGAAAACAAGAAAGGTGAAAAACAAGTGCTCATTCCTTTAAAACCTTAAGAAGCAGCCACAGACTGCAGTGATCTAGACTCTAGCTCAGTTGTATGGAACAGTTTTGGTCAGTCACTAAACCAGGACTAATTGTAAAGGTTGGCTCATGCCTTTTTTTCTCCCACATCTTTTATGAACACTACTTAATTGGACCAGGTTTCATATTGATATGTCCATATATGCACACAGCATACCTTAATCAGATTCACACACTGGCTCATACCTTTATACAATAGTCAAACATTAGTGAGAAATCAAATAGCTGACATAAATGTTCAGTAAGCTATAATGTAATTACAAAGAAGTGACTCTCTACCTGTTGACATGTTACAAATTCTACTTATGGATTTCTACATAAACTCACGGATTTAGGGATAAGGAGAAAAATTCTGACTCCAGATAATACAAAACTCCTTATACAAGTCTACATGGTGGCAGAACCCATGATACACAGGCCAAAATCAGCCCTGCAGATGTGGAAATTACATGAAAAAGCCACAGCCACAGCAAAGGCCACACTTGTGGAATAAGAATTATACAATGTCACTGCTCACCATCTTATGCAATGACAATTTGAATGAAATGAGTATCAAACACAGCCCAGAAAAAAATTGTCATAAAAGGGTAATAGGCAACAAAATATTTCTGAAGACTGATGTATAGTTGAGAGCCATTCTCTCTCTAGAAATTTAATGACTAATATTCTCAAAATTATTTCTTGGCAGCCAACAAAGTAGGGGCTAAAATCTACCCAGCATGCTCTCCTCCAGCCTCTCTACCCTGATATCAACATGTATCTACCCATAGAGATTTCTGTGTTACATATTTTAAAACTTTACAATCTATTGCCCACTGTGTTAGACCACAGTTGTGTCAGGTTGTGTAAATTTGATTATAAGTTGATTTTCACTTTAATTATTTAAGAATAAAATTATAAGGAATTATAACATTAAGTTACTAAAGTACCACAAAAATATAGTAAGTATACATTTCAAATTTACAGTTAAATTTCTCCATCTTCAATAAAATATACTTAAAAAATTTTACATTGTAATATACTTTACCTTAAAGTACTCCAAAATAGTGTTTTCCAACTTAGGATGTTGTAGAAAGGTATCATGCAACTGAGTGCACAAATATATTTATTTCAAAGTTACTTTTAACTTTGAAAACACATCAAAACAATATAAAAGCTATCTACAGTCTCCAGATTCATGCTCAAGTACAGGGTAAATTATAGGCAGGCAGCCTTAGTCATGCAAGGCAGCATTAAAACTCATTTAAAAAATAAATTAGTAAAACTGCAATAAGTGAATCAGGCTTTATTTAGCATGAGAAGAAGTATATTGTATTTCAAAAGACCAAAAATGAGCAAAGCAATGTAAAAGTGAGCTAATAGCTATAGTTTAAGTATTTGGGTTAAATATGTTATAAAAATAAATACTTAACATAAAACTTGACTATTTTAAAACAAACAAAGACTCTGCATTAAAATGTCTAGGCAACCTTGATTAGCACTTTCTGTATGGGATTATATAATAGCTAGAAAGGCATTTGTTGGATAAATTGCTGCTTTAAATTATATATGCTATTTCAAGTTAACTATTGCACCATAATAGTGTCTATATAGTGTCTATATAAAACTTAAATTTTTCAATATTTTTATCTATTTTAAATCAAATCCCTGTTTCAGAAAACAATCCTGGCTGGATGCTGGTGTCTCACTCCTGTAACCTTAGCTACTCAGGATCTGAGGATTTCGGTTAAAAGCCAGCCCAGGCTGGAAAGACTGCAAGATTCTTATCTCTGTTTAACCACCAGAAAACCAGAAGTAAAGCTGTGGCTCAAAGGGGTAGAGTGCCACTAGCCTGGAGCAAGAGCTCAGGGACAGTACCAACGACCTGAGTTCAAGCCCCACAATAGACAAAAAAAATCATCATATATTTCAAATTCTTGCCACAGCAATTTAGGTATGAATTAGGTAATACATTCTACTAATTAATAGGGACTAATAGTTTGCAAACAATTTTAAAGGTAAACCACACTGACAATAATTATTGGCTTCTGATCTTTCTCTACTACTTCTAAAAATGTTATCAGTGGGATGTCAGTCTTTTTTTTGGGGGGGGGGGAGGTCCGGTCATGGGGCCTGAACTCTGGGCCTGGGCGCTGTCCCTCAGGTCTTCAGCTCAAGGCTAGCGCTCTACCACTTGAGCCACAGTGCCACTTCCGGC